ACAGATGGATGATGCAAACATGCTGTCATACTGTATGCTAATTGAAATATGCCCTAATCTAACCATCATAAGCTGGTAAATAAAAGGGAGAAAGACGTGGGGTTGGAAGACATACAACACACACACGCACACTTATTACAGTTGTACCCTCGCGCGGAGGATCTTAATAAATATACAGTCCCGAATAAAAGAATAGTACAGTCCAAATGTTACAGTCCAAATAATGTACAAATTCCTAATTAATTAACAAATTAACTAAGGAAATAAATAAACTGGCATACAAGCCAGGGACTGCCTTGATTCCGATGGATAATGCATGCCCGGGTTGCCTTTGCGCGGAAATCCATGATGATGCCCCAATTAGCTTCTGTTTACACCTGTTCTTGAAATGCGTGCCAAGCCTCGGAAGACCGTTGATTCTTGATTTGCTGCAACAGAGAGCAGGAGAGGGGCATAGCAATGTATTTTCACAGATATATGCATGCCTCGATCCTCGTGCCACCAATCACGCATATCGATGCATGATGGCCGAGGGGTCGAAATATGCAATTCAATGTAGAATGAATGCACATGTAAACACAACAAGAACCTAACTCCATCATGGATGATCCGGAGTGTCGGTGACTTGGAATTGAGACACGTTCCGTCACTCGGAGTACTAAACGTACCTCGTTTCCCGTGCTTGGGCTAACTCCTATCCCGAACACGATGCAATATGCATGACATGCATGAAATGCAACTAAGATACAATCCTAACATACACAATGTCATGGAATGGCATACACGCTGCACGAGGTAATACACAACTGAGCACACACAATGCTATGGATGAAATGGCATACGCAATGCAATAATGGGCTTACACCGACATGAGAGAGCCTCAGCCACACTCACATAGGAGGCCATCAGATGAAAATAAGACAACTCGAAATGCGTGCACGCGTGCACGCAAACCGAGGACCGACCCTCAGGCACCGAAATGCCACTCTAATGAGGCATGGCAAAGACATGGAGTATGGCATATGATAATGCAAAAATCAGAGGTAAAATGAGATGCAAAACAGCCCCGAAACCAGGTAAAATGAAACCCGATGCATGGAACGAGCCCCAAAACGTGGATTTTGGCGCATGAAATGGCCTATAGCTATGCAATGCATGCACAATTTGAACATGAGATGAAAATACAGAAGCAAGGCAGCCCCTAGATAAGTATTTTTACAGTTCAAAGCATGGCCAAACAGCAAACACAAATAGGGCAAAAATAGCATGCAAAAATGGCCCTAAATGTGAGATAATGAAACAACTCACAGCTGTTGACCCCAAACAGGTTAGGTCCCTTCAACAAAGTTTAATAGGGGCCCAAAATATGATCTTTATAGTTTATGGAAAACCACAAAAACCAGCATAAGTATAGCTAAACTCTCATGCAAGAAATGGGCCAAAAGGTGGCCAAAGCACAAAGTATACAAAACATTCATCAAACAGCCAAAGACCCTTAATGAAACATGAATATGGGGTCAAAATAAGACTGTTTTCAGTTCTGTAAAATGACCAAAAACTGAAGCATAATGGGCTGCCAAATCATGCAAAAATGGGGACTAAAGAGGGATATAACATGAAGTGTATAAAATATGCCTCAAACCATGAAAGGCCCTTAATGAAACATGAAGAATGGGCTAAAATAAGACTATTTTCAGTTCTGTAAAAAGATAAAAAACAGAAGCATAATAGGCTAATAAATCATGCAAAAATGGGGACCAAAGAGGGATATAACATGAAGTGTATAAAAGATGCCTCAAACCATGAAAGGCCCTTAATGAAACATGAAGAATGGGCTAAAATAAGACTATTTTCAGTTCTGTAAAAAGATCAAAAACAGAAGCATAATAGGCTAATAAATCATGCAAAAATGGGGACCAAAGAGGGATATAATGACAAGTGGCATATGGAGGTCCCAAACAGTGATGATCCCTTCTTCAATGTTGAAGATGGGCTCAAAATAAGCTCATTTACAGTTTACATCATGCTCCAAAACAGATCACACATAGGCTACAAATACTATGCAAGATTATGGCATTCAAGAGGGTATTGAAGCAAGTGCAATATGGGGGGCTCAAACAGTGTTGAGCCCTTAATGAAATAAGAAAATAAGCTCAAAAAAATAACCTTTTCAGTTTTGGTCAGAGCTCAAAACAGTAAGAAAAGAGGCTAGAAAAATGTTGCAAAATTGAGCTCAAAAGAGGGGAAATGATGCTTACCCTTGAAGACTACCCCTTGGATGCTTCTTGGCTTGATAAGTGATGTCTCCTAGCTGCTGGAAAGCTCTCCAAGCTGCTGGAAATGGAGTAGTGGTGGTGGTGCTTGGTGGTGATGAAGAAATGAGGTGTAGGACTTAGGAATTTTTGAGGAAATGAGAGAGATAGAGAGAGCTATGATGCAAGAGCTCTTAAGGAAATTTTTGTAACCTCTATATCAGACTTGGCCAGCCAAGTATATACACCAAATGGGGGGGAAAAGGAGGGAAAAAAATGGGGGGAAAACAAGCCAAGTTTCCCTCCAAAAGTTGTCCCCCCGGATACAGGTTTTTTGGGGGAAAAAAGTGTATAGCTGTAAAGTACACCTTGTAAGGATCATGGCCGGCCACTTTTTGGAGCTTCAGGTGGCCGGCCGGCCGGCCACCTCCCATAGCCGGCCGGCTAAGGGTCAAAAGGGTCAAGGTGAATTAGTGGCCGGCCACCACAAATTGTTGTCCTCCCAGGTTCCCTCATCACAACCCTGTGGTTCAAAATTGCAATCTATAAAACAGGAGAGAGAACAGGCCATTTTTAGGAAGGGTTCAAAAGGGTCAAGTTGAATTACTGGCCGACCACCAACTTTTAGGGTCCTCCCATGTGTGTACATCACAAATATGTGGTTAAAAGTTCAAGAAAATGGCCCAAGGGTGTTCAACATTGGCTTGGAACTGAGAAAAACGGGCGTCGGAGGGCGCCGGAGGATATATAACTGGTTGCTGAAACAATTGCTGGCCTCCCACCCTTCTACGGCCTTCCTGGTGATGAAACAGAGGTACTTGCCAAAAATGAACGAAAACCGATGCAAAACGAATGTTCGGGGGCCAGAACGCGCAGTTCGGGGCCCCGAAAACTGCCTGTTAAGCACCGAAAGTGGCATTCGACCACGAAGTGGGTCTCTCAGACCTCAGTGTCCCTCAAAAGGGAGTAAATAAGATGCATGCCAAAAACCGGAGTGATAGGAGATGGTTAAGCGGTCCCGAACCGAGGTACACGGCCTGACGGCTCTGAAAATCGAGAACCGAGCTCTGAAATGGGCAAAATGACCTACAGCCACAAAATGTAGCCCACGGCCACTGAGAGATGGTCTACAGGACCTCTCCCTCCCCTCAGGAAAAGAAACAGAGAAAACCGAGTCTGGTTCGCAAACCGAGACAAGGCACAAAAGAGGGATCGAAAGTCCGAAGGCAGGGCTCGCAGCCGAGACTCTGAAATTTCTGAATGAGCACATTATGCAATATCACCAAGCGCTCAACTGGTGACGTCTGAGTCTTAAGGTCGGTCAAAAATGGGGTGTCTACATGTGTATAAAGTTTTATTTATCACTCTAAAATTTTTGCATGTATAGGTTCGATTTCTTCAAGAAAGAAATGTTAATGTTGTTATTCGCGATGAGCGTGACCTTAATACTATTCGCATTCATGAGGTAAGCCTAAAAGTCGCTTGAACATTGGACATGTATTTTCTTATCATTTTAAAAATAATTTATAAATATATTCTACTTATTTTTTACAGGCAAAGGCAAAGGAAAAAGACAAGGCAATATCAAAGGAAACAAAAAAAGCTATTCCTTATGGCAAAGGAAAGGAAAATGCACATCCCATGGTATGGTTTCTCAACAATTTTTAAAAGTTTTTTTTTTAATATTATATAAATTTTTTTAGGAATTGCATAGTGTCATATACTATTTTTTATGTACATTTTTCGAAAGTTTCTTTTTCAAAAATTTATTTAATTCTGTTTATTGAATGTGAAATGTTTTTATGAAGTATGTTAAAGTAGGCATTTGTACAACATGCTAATGCATATGTATGAACATTAATTTGAATTTTTAATATGTTTGTTTATTTGTATGATAAAAATATGTTGCATTTGTACAATATGTTGCATCTACAACATAACGTAACAAAAATAAAATAGAAGAAAACGAAAAAGGAAAATAAGAAGAAAGAACAATTATGTGATGAAAAGGAAACTACATAATATAATTTTTTTTAATTTTTATTTTCTTGTAAGAAGTTCTTAAGGAAAGAAGAAAAAGACAAAAATGCATTTTAATATAACAAAAACAACAAGAAGAGAGAAAAGGAAAGTACAACACATTACACGCTAATATTCACATTTTACGTACCCAACCATTTAATATTTACCTTTTCAACGTACATTTTGTAAAGAGATGGGTAGTGTCTTAAAACCAATAAGTGCGTGCATAGTGAGTTTACAGTTTTGTGTTTTCAAATTATTTTTCCCTTCCTTTTTAAATTTCATAAATACATGCATTGGTTCTTATATGACTAACAACTTAACCGAGTGAAGAGGAAAAGTTAGTTAAAAGGAAGAAAAAATACATGATGAAAGGGAAGCAAGTTAGTTAATCTTCACATTTTATGCACATTCTTATATAATATTCTCATTTTAGGCACACAATGATAATGTGTTATCAAAAGCTGCATTGGCCCAACGTGCACGGCGAGAACATGAAAAAATCAAAAGCCATGTTCTGCATACCAATTGGGACAACGCCTGCGACGAGAACGAGAAAGAGAAAGATCGAAGGAATGTATTAACCCAAGACAACCTTCTTTAACACCAAATTGGTAAAAAGAAAAAGAATCTTTTACCCAAGACAATTTTGAATTTTTTACTCTTACTATTACCACTTTATTATATAGATTTTAATTTGTTCACAATCTATTTCTGTAGGCCTCCTCCTACAACTCCATGTAGAAATGTTGGTGTGGTCATCCGTGATGAGCACGACCTTAATGTTATCCGTGTTCGTGCGGTAAGTACAAAATCAAGTCAAACATTGTATGTATTTTATTTATATAAGATTATATAAGATTTTTTTTAATCTTTTCAATATTTTATTTATATTTGTTAGGCAAAAGATAAAGAAAAGGTCAACCCAATGTCTAAAGGAAAAGAAAAGATGGCTCATTCCGGCAAGAGAATGACAAATGCATTTCTAGTTGTATATATTCTTTTTTTAAAATATGATGCAAAACTAATCAAAACCAGATTAATGTTTCGAACATTAGGAATGATTGTAATATGTTTTCCTGTAACTTGCTATTATTTGTATGTGTTTTTCAATTTTATTTATTCTTATTTTGCATGGATACATGTGCATTTATAATGTACCATCCATAAGTTGCTACTTATATAAAGAGAATAGGAAAAAAGAAACGAAGAAATAAAGAAAAAATATATAAAGAAAGGAGAAACTAAATAAGATAGGTTTTTAATTCTTATTTAATATATAAAATAGAAAACAAAGAAAAGGAAAGGGAAAGGGAAGAAATAAGAAGATAGAAAGGGAAGAAATAAGAAAAAAAGAAATAAAGATGACACTATTAAAAGTATAAAACAAATAAAATATAAAACAAAATTAAGAGAAAGGGAAGAAATAAGAAGATAGTTTCATTTTAAGCAAAAAATATTCACATATTTTGCTTCAATGATAAAATATTTTCTTTTTAGGCACAAAATGATAATGTAATATCAAAAGCTGCATTGGCCCAACGGGCACAGCGAGAGCGTGAAAAAATTGAATTTCAATGCTTGCAACGAGGGCAAGAGGGATTAGAAGAATGTGTTCAAATAAGACAACGTTCTTTAACACCAATTCGTCGCGATCGCACTCACTTGGAGTGGGAAACAATAACTGAAGATTCTCAATCGGCACAAAAACGAACAATGGTTACCTATCATTCTCCATGTTCGTTTTCTATGCCAAGCACATCTTCAAATTCACAAAGGAATCAGTAAACTACTGTGTCTAATCTTGAAATACATACTTTTACTCATATCGTTTTGTTTTACAGAATTTTATTTATACACAAATATTTGTAGGTCTACTTCTATAAATCGATTTGTATATACTGATGATGAATTAGAAGATCTGCCTACGAGTATATCAATTGGCGCCCGGGCACACAAAGATTCTTGCCGCCATTATCTTGGCAAGATGGATGTATTATATCCTTATTGTTCAGCCTTACATTGGATAGATGAAAAATTGACAAAATCATCTATAAAGCGTCCCTTATTCGGAACTTGCTGTTTGGAAGGGAAGATTAGGCTACATTTACTTATTACACCCCCTCCACCACTTCAGGCATTGTATGATGGGAATAATGATCAATCAAAATCCTTTCGAAGTTATACTTGAGTGTACAATGCAGCCAATGCTTTTACGAGTCTTGGTGCTACATTGGATCCTAGAGTACTCAGTGGAAGGGGCCCTACATCATTCACAATTCATGGGGAATTGTGACATCTAACAGGATCACTACAACCACAACCAGGGCAGGATGCGAGTTATGCTTAGCTGTATATTTATGACCCTTATTCAGCTTTAGAAATTCGTAATCGTAGAAATCTTAACTTGAGAAGGGATGTTCTCAAAACTGTTCAAGATAATTTGTTGCAAGTTAATGCATTTGTAGATAAATATCGCCAGGCTCATGCCATTTTACATCAATTAGACTCGGCAGGACACAATCTACCTGCTCATCTTCATTACAGTTCAACAACTGATTGACGTCGGTATAACCTACCAACTACAGATGAGATTGCAATTGTAATACCAGGTGATGGAACAGAGGTAAACGGAATGAAAGATATTATTTTACATTTTCGAGGAAATAATGAGTTAATGCAAATTAATGAATGTCACCCAACATACTTGCTATTACATTATGTTCTATTATTTCCATATGGTGAGCTTGGATGGGAACCTGAGTTGAAATTGTGGAATGTTCAGTATGATTGACCTTCAACTAATCGACTTACTCAAATGAATTTTTATAGTTATCGTTTGTTTGAACGACCCACAGAGTATTCAACAATTTTGAGAGCTGGGAAACTATTTCAAGAGTTTTTGGTAGATGCTTGGGCTGCAATTGAGAAAAATCGATTGACATACTACAAGCTTAATCAAGGGAAACTTCGGGCTGAGCTTTACCAAGAGTTGTCAGATATGGTTCCAGATTATGTACGACTTGGACAAATTGGTCAAAGGTTTGTTTTTCCATCTTCATTTACTAGTAGTCCTAGACATATGTTTGAAATCTTTCAAGATTCAATGGCTATCACACGATACAACCAACACCCAGATATTTTTCTTACCATGACTGCAAATCCCAATTGGTCAGAAATTACTTCAGCATTATTACCATATCAAAAACCTATTGATCGTCCTGATTTAATTGCCCGTGTTTTTGAGTTGAAGAGAAAATTTTTGATGGAGGAGATAGAAATAAATAAAGTGTTTGGAAATAAAGTTGCACATGTTTTTACAATTGAATTTCAAAAACGAGGCCTCCCTCATATGCATGCACTTTTATTTCTCAAGGGTCCAGGCAAAATTCGGACATGTGCTCAAGTAGACAAATTGGTTTGTGCAGAATTTCCAGACCTAAAAGATGATCCTATGCTTTTTGAAACTATCAAATGTTGTATGGTACATGGACCATGTGGTGCTCGAAATCCGCAAGCACCATGTATGGAAAATGGTAGATGCACTAAGAGATACCCTCGACCTTTCACAGAAACAACAACTATGGATCAAGATGGATACCCTATCTATCGTCGTTGCAATAATGGTAAAGTACATACTGTGAGAGGGCAAGAAGTTATATTGGACCTCCAGAAGCTGCTTGGCGAATATTTGGTCATCCTTTGCATGCAGAGATGCCAACAGTTGTACGATTGGCACTTCATTTACCTGGAATGCATCGTGTTATTTTTAATCCAGAAGAGTCATTACAAACGATTCAATCTAGAGCTGGTCAACAAATGTCAACTCTTACTAGCTTCTTTGCATATTGTGCTGCCAGTAAAGATGAATGTCCATTCACTTATCAAGAATTTCCACAGCATTTTGTTTAGCTCAAGTCAGAAAAGAGATGGAAATCAAGAGAAAGGGGATATGCAATTGGTAGAATGTACTTTGCTAGCCCTAATTGTGGTGAAAGATTTTATCTACGTTTGTTACTAACCGTTGTCAAAGGACCAAAGTCGTTTCAGTCTTTACGCACAGTCGATAATGTTGTGCATGATACATTTAAATTAGCATGTATTGCAAGGGGGCTTTTAGAATATGATGAAGAATGGATACAATGCTTGAAAGAGGCTGCAGTCATAAAAACTGGATATCAATTGAGGAGATTGTTTAGCATTATTCTTACCCTGTGCTCTCCACTAAATCCATGTGCATTATGGAATCAATTTTCAACGCATATATATGATAATCTTGCACATAAGATTTGTACATTGTTTGTCATTTCTAAACCAACTGAGGCTCAAATTGAAGATTATGGTCTCCATCTTTTGAATAAAATGCTTCATGAATCAGGCAAAAGTTTAATTGACTTCCCACCCATGCCACAACCTACTGCAAATTGGAGTGCAGTAGTTAGTAATCGATTGATAGTTGAACATCAACAACTGCAGAGTGAGGCACAACATGTAGATCCACAAATTACTATTGATTGTCTCAATAATGGACAGCGGAATGCTTATAATACAATCACTTCTTCAGTTTTTCAAAATAAAGGAACTGTTTTCTTTCTGAATGGGGGTGCAGGAACAGGGAAAACGTTTCTATACAATACGATTGCATTAAAATGTCGTAGCCTTGGACATATCGTTGTTACTGTGGCTTCGTCTGGAATTGCATCACTGTTACTGGTAAAAGGTCGCACTGCACATTTAACATTTTCCATTCCGTTAGATGTCTTGGAAAATTCACTTTGTGGGTTTAGCAAACAATCATTACAAGCTGAGTTATTTAGAGAAACAAAACTCATAATTTGGGATGAAGTTCCTATGCAACATAGACATTGTGTTGAGGCCGTTGATCGTACATTGAGGGACATTTGTGATAGTGAAAAGTTATTTGGGGGTATTACTGTTGTTCTTGGAGGAGACTTTCGACAAATCTTGCCAATTATACCCAAAGGAGTTCGTGAGCAAATTGTGAATGCATCATTAAGACACTCTGTTCTATGGAAGCATATATATATCTTGACTTTGGATTTGAATATGCGCTTGAATCATGAAGGCCATGAAAATGCTAATTTTACAAATTTCTTGATGGAGGTAACACTACTTTAACCTGTATTATATAGATTTTAAATTAATAAATTATGTTTACACTTACTTTTTTATTGATTTCACTTTTTTTTAGATTGGGACCAATCCTCAAGAAATCGTTAACCTTCCATCAACAATATATAAATGTCAAGTTTTGAATGAATTACTCTCTACAGTTTATCCACAATTGAATATGATAGAGACGTCAACCCCAACATTTTTAACTAAACGCACAATTCTGTCTGCGCGTAACAATGATGTCAGTGACATTAATACTACTGCGTTGAATATCTTTCCAGGGAGATTATATACTTATCTTGCAGTAGATAAAATGTCTGAAGATAATGAAATTGATCTTACCATTACAAATAGATATCCTAATGAATATTTAAATTCATTGGATCCTCCTGGGTTGCCAACTTTTAAGTTAGAGTTGAAAGTGGGTTGTCCTATAATATTGTTGAGAAACATTGCACCGAAAGATGGACTATGTAATGGTACAAGATTGATGGTTATTAGGTGCGGCACTCGCATAATTGAAGCTCAAATTTTAACTGGAGAAAAGTTTGGCAATTTAGCATTCATACCAAGGATATCTTTGACACCATCTTCTTCAGAAATGCCTTTCCAAATGACAAGACATCAATTTCCAGTCCGATTGGCATATGCCTTGACCATTAATAAATCTCAAGGACAATCTGTGAAATTTGTTGGGGTTGATTTGCGTATACCAGTGTTTAGCCATGGGCAATTATATGTGGCATTGTCTAGATGTACATCATTTGATCGTATAAGTATTCTCCCTCCTAAAGATAATTTGGATTCTACTACAAATATTGTTTATCCTGAAGTGTTGCTGTAGTACT